TCCATTTCTTGTTCCCCTGTCTATTTGGAAAAGATCTCCCTACTTACTATTTATCTACCTTTTATTTTGTTCATTTATATTTTGTGAGTTGTTTATATACAATGGAGTACTCCCCTGCCATAAAGAAAGATAAACTTGAGGCTTTTGTCAGTGAGTGGATGCACCTCGAGACCACAGAGTTAAGTGACATAAGACACACAAGGTTAAATGTCACATGGTTTCTCAAGATATATTTTTAATCTCTTGTACTACTCTATTCATATTTTTCGCTGCTCTTTCCATCCTAACTTCTCTGGTTGTATTCAAATGTTACAGGAATGTCCCACACTTTTGGACTTGCTTTTCCTTCTCCTCAGAACATGTTGTCTCCATACAGCCACAGATAAGTCTGCAGATCATTATTCAAATGTCCCCAACCAAAGAGGCTTTTCCTGACCACCCTGTTCAAAGTTGTCTTCCCTCTCCAACCCTTCCCTGTCCAGCTATCTCACCATTCTCTGATTTTTTGCTTTTTTCTAAAATGTCATTTGTTGGCATCTAACTTATTATGTATGTATGGATGTGTGTGTGTATGTATGTATGTATGTATGTATTTATTTATTTATATTTATTTCCTATTCTTTCTCTCTCTCTTCTCATTCCACTAGCAGGTTTTTATCTACATTGCTTGCTATTGTATTTCCAGGAACTAGGTACATAATTGCATTATGTAAGTATTTGTTGAATGGGTTAATGCTCCCACTTACAAGGAAAAGTGGTTAGTTTGGGTCAGTTTCAGAAATAAGATTTTGCTAATATAGAAAATCTATTTCCTTTAGGTCAATAAGATGGTTGTTTAGAACATAATCAATAGGAAATATTTAATCTCTCAAATTTTATTCTATAAAGTCAGTTTTAGCTATGCAAATGTTCCATGTGACATTTATAATGAAATGCCAGTAATTACTATAATTCATGTTATTAATGAGTTTCTAGGTAAGCAAAGGAAAAAATGTCACTGAATTGATATTTTACTGAAAATCTAACTAGCATATAGTTTTATGTATTTCTACCCCAATCCATTAGGAGCCAGTGCTTATTTTCTTGTTTACACAACAAAAGATATTGGTATGGTATTTCAAAAGGATCACTTTAAAGTGCATAGACGAAATTGATGAAAATGTTGAGAAAGAGAATTGACCAAAATTTCTTGCCAAATTAAATATTTGACCCAAGACAAATCAGGACACTGATGTGGTTTTAGCATTATCCTGCTCAGTGCTCAGGGCTTAATCCACTTTCTAAACAATAATTCTTGAGAATTTACTTTTAATCCTGATTTTACAGATGAAGAAGCAACGGAGAAGAAATTAAGTGGCTTATTTAAAGCTACATCATGAATTAAGAGCAGGCTGGGACACTCTTGCCTCATGTTTCTAAGTTTATTAATGTCATGATCGGATGCCAGGATAATCACAGCAATACAGCCCTGAGGATGAAAATTGATCTTCTGGGCATGCTGCTGTGATGACCAGAGACTTCCTCATTAAAATCCCATCTCTGTAATGAGACCTGGGTCATGTTGATAAAAATGGAGTTCTAGTAGTATTTCTGCTCTTTGGGAAGAAGCATCGTTTTGATTTTTCTAAACCTTTGAGACAGAGGAGCTAGATTAATAGGCTCAATGGAAAAATAAAGAGCACCGTATGTTCTGATGTTAGTGTAAAGGGGTATTATGGTTTCTAAATAAATTTTAGATTGGAGTTTCTCAGAGGTGTAGAATGGTTAGATAACACTTTTCTAGCAACCACATGCTCAATTATACATATGTGGTGGAGTCTGTTGTAATCAGAATGTGTGAGTTCCTTACAGAGAATAGGGGATTCTTACTGAATCTTGTCTTTGGGCATTGGCTTCTTTCTTTATGGCAGAAGAAAGGGCTTAGAAATGTAAGTATATTTTATAAAACCTGCCAATTCATTGATATGCTTATCTTTTTTTGTATTCTTAGTTTCCTCATCTGTAAAATAATGATCATAGAGAATTTCTCTAATATTGTTGCTTAAGATTTAGGTTAAATAATCTTGAGTATTTAGCACAGTGATTCACATATACCAAAATAACAATTTTTAAATTTACCATTCTCATCTTTTTCCTTCTTCTTGTCATTCTTATTGTGATGATGATTAGTGGGCGAAGATGAGAACATGTATCCTCTAGATGAAGAAGAATAGGATAATGAGGGAATTTTTTCTTGAAAATACATTTCAAAGATGAGGGCCTTTGTTGTCGGATAAAAAAATAAGATCATAGACTTAGTAGTGAAATGATTCCAACACTGATAGCCAATAGCTAAATTAGTATGTGAAGCACACAGCTGAAGCCATTGTAGATCCACTCAGAGATGAACACCGTGGTTAACACTTACTACAGTCAGACTTTGCTGACAGACCTTTCTGCTAGAAACATGAAGAAAACACTTAGCTATGCCAAATGTACACTTTGCCATCCACAGAAGAGAGAGGGAAAAAGAGGGAAGGAGGAAACGTGGGGTTAGACACAGGACATCAGATAACGTGAGGAGGAGCCTTAAACGAGGAGCCTGTAGACCTGGTCCTCATGCTCACACTTGCTAGCTTCAGAGGCTTGCAAGCTCTCAGCCCTTGAGTAGCTTGGGGGCTCCTCCAACAGCAGCAGGCAGCTTGGACCCACCTCAGAACATGCAGACCAGCAGCACCAGGGACACTAAAGTATTTTTTGAGTGAGTAAACGAACTGGTAGATAGAGGGTTGGTGCCTATTCTATGCGAAGTCTCCCAACATGACTAGTGCAGCAGATATATAGATTGTCTTGGCCATTATCTCTTCCACCTTCCTTTCAGTGTGTCCTTTTGTATTGCAAAGTCTGGAAAGCTAAAATTCCTATTTCCAAGGCTTTCTTATAGCAGGGGTGTCAGATGTGAATGGGGTTTCCCCAGTCTAATAAATTCACATGGAGCTTAAATTTGGACCTTGAGTTACACAATGAAGAGAAGAAGAGCAAGAAGACTGTTCTGTTGGTGCCTAGAAGCAGCTGTTCCTTGATCAGGGAATGTTAAGCAGCTGCCTTGGAAGCCCAGTCCTGCAGTGGGATGTTGTTCACTGTCCCTGGACACTTGGCCTGAAGTGCATTACTTAAAAGTCTTTAAACTCTTCTGATTGTTCTGTAAACCTGTAAACCTTCTAATACCTGCAAAGTACAGCAACCCCTTTCGGTCTGAAAAAGCCAATGTGGATTCTGTCCCTCTCTCTGTCTGTGACAAACACAGGCAGTCCTCTCAGCTAGGATTTTCAGCCTTGAAATTCGCTGCACAGCTTCTTTGCTCCCATACTTTATCCTGCCTCGATCAAGAGCCACTTCTCTCCTTAAACACATCTCCCCAGCTAATGTGCTCTCTCCTTTCTTTGATCCACTAGGTTTTGTGCTTTTATTGTTTTTGCCATATTCTGCCTCGATTTCAAGTTTGTCTTCTTACTCTAGTCAAATGGAAGTTTTTTGAGGAAGCATAAAATTAAAATATATTTAGAGGCTTTTTAAATTCCTCCAGTGCTTACCACAGTGCCACAAGTACAGAGGACACTCCATGACTATTAAAATTTGAATAAGGTCACTTAGGAAGGCTACCTTTAGAAACACTCTGCCTAGCAGCAGTGTGCCTGAAGTTTAAACTGTAGTGTATATGCTGATAACTGTTCAATCTTTATCTTCAATTTAGACCCTTCTCCTGAACTTCGGACCCATTTCTTCTACCACTCACAGGACACTTCCATCTGAGTATTCTACTCATGCCTAGGTCGAACATTCCTCAAACTGAGTTCTTACCAATACCCTCAGGCTTCTCTTTCCTTCCATTCTGCTGTACATGGACGGAAGTTACACTTAAGCTTGGTCCTTGGGCAACAGTCTCATATTCTGTATCCGTTTGCTCTATCCAATAAATAGGTCACATCTGCTCAAGTTCCACCTACCTCACCCGTCCCTTTACTTCATTTCCTCTGCTACTGATATTTTCAACCTGCACCATTTCTCATGTGTGTCTGGCACTGATCTCTTTGTACTAGCACAGCCTGGTTTTCCTGTAACACCATGACCACATCTTTGAATTGTTTTTTAGTTTTACTAATAATTCTTTTTATTGCAACTGAGGGTCAATGCAACTGCATATGATATTCAAAGGCAAAATAGATTATTAAATATTACATGGAGTTTAGTTTTGAATCAGTTTGATTTAGATGTCTGCCTTGTTAACTCTTTGTGTTCAGTTTTGTCTGAAGTAAGTTTTCAGAAAGTCTTAGCATCAGTAATTAAACAAACATATTGAATGTCATTTCTTATTGTTGTAATTATTGCTATTATCACTACCACTATGTTACTAAACTTTATTACTATTCATTTAATGTGATTTGAGCTTTAAAATTGTATAAACAATGTGAAAATCTGACTAGAGAATAGTATCTTTCAGAATATGTGAATAATCTTAGTACTTAGGTGATTTTTTAATATTTTTGAAATAAATGTATATAAAATACCTTCTTAAAATTCACCTAACTTAGTGTACTTACCTTCAGAAAAATAGTGCATAAAGATTGGATTAAATTCTTGTAAGTATGATTAAAACAGTTTGATCTAAAAGACTCATCGAGAACCAGTGATATTTATATAGCTCTTGCTAATGTTTACTGAAGCTCAGTAACCTTTATTCTTTTACCTTCTTTTTTAAAAGGGAGTAGCTGGTAATTATACTGTCACATTTTCTTAAGTTCTTAAGTTTTCAAAAATAAGGTTCTGATTTCTAGGGGAAAAAGGCAAGATTTTTTTGCATTAGCTATCAAAATAAATGCTGTGAGATGAGTTCTCTTTTTTTAATCTTCTAATTGTATTTGTGAAAATTTAAGATCTACAGTGTGTTGCCTTCATTTTCCTCCTGTAAAGGAAAGGTGTCTATTACTAAGACTTGTTTTCTTTTTTTTTTGGTACTGGAGATCGAACGTGGGACCTCATGCTGTAAGACTTGTTTTTTAATCATCAGGATGTACATTAGAAGGTGACAATGTTCAAATATGGAAATATATTAAACCAGACACCTATTTATTGGCACTTGCTGCTTAGGCAAGAAGGATACTGCTTCTCAAGAATGTGAGAGTTATGAATACTTACTGTTTAACACTAACACTTGACCATACCATGTGTGTAATACACACTCAGTGAGTACAGGGCTGTCTTATCACAACAGGAAACATGTCATCAAGCCTGGTCATGCTTTAGATGAACTCTTCCTAAGAAGTGTCACCTTCTTTTACTTTTTCTCAATTTTATTCCTGGGATCTCTGAGTCTCAAAGAAAGAATCAGCCATCATGAAAGATTTTTCATGTCTGCTAAACCAAAAGGCAAAAAAAAAAAAAAGTTAAGTTTCAGGTCACTCATATTCTACATAGTCTGCAAAGTTCATGACTGATTAAATATTTTTGTTTTGATACATAGTCTGAAGAATAGTTTCATATTTTAAGCAGTATAATTCATCTGAATAGATTATGTCTGAGAAATACTCTCATGGCCATTTTGAGAAAGAAATGGGAAATGCTCCCTGATGCTCCCATTACTTTCTGGGCTTGATCCAGATAGGATAGGATCGGTTAAGGTCAGGAGGGAGCTGTATTGCCTGTTGCTTGATATGCTAAGTGGGAGAACTTCTGAGATTTTGAAAGAAGAATGAGATGGGGAGAGAGACTCTTGGCTGGGGGAGGATATGAGGAAGACTTAGATTAGCACTGTCTGAGGAAAAGATAATGTGAGTCATATGAATTTTAATTTTTAGTAGCTATGTTAAAAACTAAAAAGAAACAGAAAAAATTAATTTTAGATTTATAGTTTACATTGAAAAAGGATCCCAGTTTGGTTTAGCTAAAGTTCAAGTGCTCAAGGGCCACATGTGGTTGGTGGTTACCACATTGGGCAGCATAAATGTTTTGTGAGGCACCCCAGCATTACAGGCAGAGTCTGGAGTCCTTCAAATAAATGTAAAGTTATGAGTGGTGGGGATGGACAAGGGTTCTTAACTGAATTTTTTTCATTCATTTTCTCTAGTGCACCAAGATACAACCTCCTCCCTATTTTGCTATATCTTCAGTGAAACTCTGATATTGAATACACATCATTGCCAGTGAAACATCTTAGCATCTGCAATGGGAGGATCTGCTGTACCATATTAAAATTTAATATGGAGAACTTCGGTTTACCCAGGCTGCAGGCATATGTGTGAGAGCTGGGGAAGATGGGCTAGGACAAATTAACAGAGCAATATCCCACTGTGGGAAAAGACTTTGGTGACAAAAGTTGAACTGAACTTATTGGGGAGAAACCTGACACAAATTGGCATAGAATAGTTATAGCATTTTTTCACATTTAATGAAAATATTTCTGTATTCTGCTGCAGAAATATTAATGTGTGTGATAATGAGGTGCTTTGCCAGAATCCACTATAGTTTGTTAAAGTACCATAAGGTTTACATACTCTGTTAACTTCCTGAACTCCAAAAAATTTCAGAATTCCAGGTTTCAGCTGATTTTTTGGGTTTCCAAGAGGGTCCGTGGACCTGAATTTGGATCGGAGGGTGTGAGGGGGTTAATGAATGGAAAAAGCTTTTCTGGAAATCATAGCCCAGAGTTCAGTGCTTGGCCTGCTGTGTTTAAAGTAATCCTTGCTCATGTGAGACCAAAAGTGACTCCATTTTGCTAATGTGAGACCAGAATGACTCCATTTTGTCCAAAATGGAGCAGTCTCCTTTGTTCTTTCAAATTAATGATTAAATGTGCTTAATCTGGGACAAAAGACATGATCTGTAACTCAAGATTCCTAAGCTCATTACTCAGCCATCTGTTTGCCCTAGAAACAAGTGTCCTGGGCCCACTATCTATAGGACAATCTGTTAACGTGCTGACTATCCACACAAGGTGGTCATGACCATTAGTCAAGATGTCTGCTGACCATCAGTACGTGACAGTGGGCCACTAACCTTTGTCCCCATTTTTCTTGTAAAAACTTATACGTAATCCCCTTCAAACCCCAATGAGCCTAGCCAATCAAAATTCTACACTTCATACTTGCTAAATGTTAACCAATCATATGGCTGCTAATGACCGAAGCTTGCTGTAATCTCAATAAAAATCCTGCTAATTTGGAACTTGGGGCTCTCAATCTCGATCTGCTGTGTCGGTGACAATTGAGAGTCTCTGCTTAAGCTTGAATAAACGACCCTCATGTGCTTACATCGGAAACGGCCTCCTGGTGGTCTTTGGGACTTCATAATCTGGGCACAACATTTGGGGGCTCGTCCGGGATCCCAAGACCTTCAGGATCTCAGTGCCGGAGGGTCAACGCCGGCTGGTGAGTGTGTTTTTTGTGTTTGTAAAGTCTGGGCCCATTTTCTGGGAAGGTCGGCAGATGGTCTAGGCGGATGCACTGCGAGGGCCGCAGACCCGGGATCCTGGAAGAAATTCTGGATCCCGCAGGGGGGGACGGAGTGCCCCATGAGTACGAGTCTGTGAGACTCCTGGGGGGATGGTGCGGGTCGCTCCCGCCACACGGGGAGAGGCCATTGTCCCATTTTCATTGCCTCCGATTTGGCGGAGGACGGTTTTGTCTTGCCTTGTGCTTTTCTGTTGTGTTTGTTTGTCTGTTTATTGTATTGACTTGGACTGAGACGCTGGGACAGACTGCGACTACCCCTCTTTCCCTCATGAAGGACCATTTCAAAGAAGTCAGGGAGTGCGCTCATAACCTAAGTTTAGAAATTAAAAAGACTAAGTTCATCACCCTCTGTAGCTCAGAATGGCCCACCCTTAGGGTAGGATGGCCCCCCGAGAGAACTTTTGATTTACAGGTTGTACGCAGAGTTCATAGGGCCATCCTTCATCCTGACCAGGTTCCCTACATTGCCATTTGGGAATGTCTAATCTATAACCCACCCCCATGGGTTAAGCTCTTTTTGCCTCCACAGAAACAGCAGCCAAAGGTAATCCTGACAGCCTGTGAAAAGACTCCCAAAGGGTGCGACAACAAAAAGCAAACCGAGACCAAGCTGACCGCGCTGCTTTACCCAGTTCTTCAAGGAGGAACAGATGAAGATCTCCTCTTTCCCCCTCCCTACCACCCACACCCTGCTCCTCCACTCCCGCTGGCGGGGATGGAGGAAAGAGCGCCGGTGGCGGCCAAGGCGGAGGCACCTGCCCCAGTGGGGTGCCACTGGAGGAGACGGCCCCACCCAAAACACCTGTAACACCCGTAATTGCTGCAAGGCCTCACTGGCGGGGCCTGCAGATTCTGCTGTCCTCCCATTAAGGGCAGCTGGACCCCCTGATGAGCAGGCCCACTTGGGACTTCAACACAGCAGAAGGTAAGGAGAGGCTCTGGGTCTATTGCCAGGCTCTGCTGGGAGGTCTCAAAGTGGCGGCACTGAAGCCCACCAATTTGGCTAAGGTAGGGGATGTACAACAAAAACTAGATGAAAGCCCTGCTGCTTTCTTAGAGAGAATTCAGGAAGCCTTCCGTAGGTATATTCCTATGGACCCAGAAGCAATTGAGACAAAGGCAGCTGTAATAATACATTTTGTCAACCAGGAGGCGCCAGACATTAAGAGAAAGTTACAGAAGGTAGACAGGTTAGGAGAGAAAAGTATTCAGGATTTAGTGACAGTGACAGAGAAAGTGTATAACAATAGAGAAACCGCAGAGGAGAAATGGGAAAAAGCTGATGACCGCCAGACCCAAAACTTAGCTCGGATTCTTCTGGCTGCCACTGCGGGAGAACAAAAGGAACGTGAACATAGACTAAGAAAGATTGCGGTGGAAGGAGAAAACAAGGGGAGACGCAGAGAGCATCCCCAGTTAGGGAAAAATCAATGTGCTCATTGCAAAGAGGAAGGCCACTGGGCCAAGGATTGTCCTAAAAAGAAACAACAGGAAGGTCACCCAAAGGCCCCTATCCTGGCTGTAGATGAACTGAGTGACTAGGGGGGACGGGGTTCGGCATCCCTCCCCGAGCCCAGGGTAACCCTAAAAGTGGAGGGGAAACCTGTTGAGTTCCTAGTGGATACAGGGGCTTAACATTCAGTCCTACTTGAACCATATGGCCATGTTTCTGATAAAACCTCCTGGGTTCAAGGAGTTACAGGCATGAAAAAGTATTCATGGACTACCCGAAGAACAGTGGACTTGGGAGTGGGCCAGGTAACTCACTCATTCATGATTATACCAGACTGCCCCTATCCCTTATTGGGAAGAGACTTGCTCACTAAATTAGGAGCCCAAATTCATTTTCAGCCCGGAGGCACAAAGGTCCTTAATCAGAAGGGAAAGCCCATCCAGGTGTTAACCATAAGCTTAGAAGATGAATATTTGCTACATCAGAAAGGGGCCCCTCCTGATCCTGACATGGAACAATGGCTCACCATGTTCCCGCAAGCATGGGTGGAGACTGGGGGCATGGGACTGGCTGCGCACAGAGCACCAGTGTTTGTAGAGATAAAACCAGGAGCGGACCCTGTGTGGGTCCGCCAATACCCTATGCCCCTAGAGGCCCATAAGGGAATAACTCCACATATCAGAAGGTTGCTCACTCAGGGGATTCTAAGGCCTTGTCAATCAGCCTGGAACACCCCCTTGTTGCCAGTGCGGAAACCTCATTCAAGTGACTATCTGCCAGTGCAGGACCTCCGTGAGGTAAACAAGAGGGTTATGGATATCCACCCTATGGTGCCTAATCCATACACCCTTCTGAGTTCACTGCCCCCAAGCCATCAATGGTACACGGTCTTGGATCTCAAAGATGCCTCCGTGAGCCTTCTGCTGGCACCCAAAAGCCAACACATCTTCACATTTAAATGAAGCGACCCTGAACAGGACATTAACAGACAGCTGACCTGGACCCGACTTCCTCAAGGATTTAAAAACTCCCCCACCATTTTTGACGAAGCCCTGCATGAGGACTTGGGCTGGACAGAGGCTTTCCCCACCAAGCACGAAACAGCACAGACTGTGGCCAAAAACCTTTTAGAAGACATCCTACCAAGGTATGGTTTCCCAGTAATGCTAGGGACAGGCAATGGACCCACCTTCGTTTTCAAGGTGAGTCGAAGCTTAGTGCAGGTACTGGGGCAGATTGGGAATTACATTATACATACAGACCCCAGAGTTCAGGACAGATAGAGAGAATGAACAGGACCCCAAAAGAGACCTTAACTAAGTTAGCCTTAGAGATTGGCGGTGACTGGGTGACTCTCCTTCCCTTTGCCCTCTATAGGGTATGCAACTCACCCTATAAGATGGGACTAACTCCCTTTGAAATTATGTTTGGAATTCCCCCTCCCATTGTTCCCAACCTTCAATCAAATGTGCTTGTTGAATTTGATGACCAAAAATTGCTACTTTCTTTAAAAGCCTCCAATGTGTACATGAGGACATCTGGCCTAAATTAAAAGCCCTATACAAGACTGGACCACCTCCTGAGCCCCATCACTATCGACCAGGAGACTGGGTCTTCGTCTGGAGACATCGACAAAAAGACCTTGAGCCTCGTTAGAAAGGCTCCTATGTCACAGTCCTGACCATGCCCACTGCTCTCAAAGTCAACGGGATTGCCTTGTGGGTACATTACACCCACGTCTGCCCCGCGGATCCACACGACATCCTAGAATACTTCATCCCATCATGACAGGTGTCCAAAGAACACGACAACCCCCTCAAGCTCAAACTGCGTCATCGGCGGTCATGATTGTGGTAACTGTACTTTTAACACCAATATTAGGAGGACTCTGCATTGCCTTAGGTGAAGAGTGTTGTTTCTATGTAGATCATTCAGGGGTGGTCAAAGAATCTATGGCCAAAGTTAAAAAAGACATCGCCAAATGAAAACAAGAGAGAGAACAAGCTCAAAATTGGTTCGAATCCTGGTTTAATTCCTAGGCCCCTTGCTTATTCTGTTACTACTGTTAACCTTTGGACCTTGTATACTCAATAGACTAGTTTCATTCATCAGAGAACAAATTAACGCT